AACCGGATACAGGAAAGTCAGCCCTGTAGCCAGACAACCCGACAACATATAACTTCATCATTTTTCATCCTATGAAAAGAAGAACAAAGCAAACACTGATCAATTGCGGCGAGACAGTGAGAATAATAAATAGGACGCTTTTGTGATAGTCTGGTTGTGCAATCTGGGTGCTTCGTAGACCCTGTTTCATGCTGCGTCAACCATCATTGCATACTTACACGCAAGTTGTCTCAACGCCTTGTCTTATAAACCGCGTTTCTTCGTCTTTAGATTTAATTTCACGCTATTCTTTTTTCATATTTAGTTTCAAATCCTTTATTGTCACTACAAATTCGTCATCTGAAAGTGTAACCTTAGATTCTTGATATGCAGAAAAAAATAGATTGGTCATTCTCAAAGTTGGTTAATTAAGTATGTAAATGTTGACGACGACCTTACAAGGTATATAATTGAGCTAAGTTGTGCTTATATGAAGGGTGTTACTCATTTCCTTTTTTGTCCAGTAACATGAAAAAATGAAACAAGGAACCTATGAAGAGCAGGAGTTGGTAATACTCAAACCTAGAATCGGTGTCCTATCGGATGACACTTACCCAAAGAACACACAATTTTGGAGGTCTGCAAACTCGTATTAGCCAGCACCTCGTGGAAGCTAGAGAGCGCACACATGCACACCCACCAACAAATTTTCAAACTTATCAGGGCTGTTGCATTTACTCACTGTCTCATAATGCGGACCATACATGCGTGCACCCGCGCATCCACTTAAGGAATGCATTTTCACCTCAGATTATGCAATCAGAGTGTCAAATTCATTCATTGCTCTTGGGCCCCCTCCTCCTCCTTTGCGTGGGAATGTGGGTGGGTGTTGGAAGCCCAGCTTAGCCAGGCTGAAGTGGGGCGGGGCGGGGACGGCGTGGGGAGGAGAGATAGGTAGTATGCGCGAAACAGATGAGAATCGGTGTACCAGTAAGTGCCCACACCCTCAAATACAACCACGGGCACATGCACACTTGCAAACGCAATCGCAAACGTACCTGTCTACACCCCAGCAAACTTCGGAGAGAAGGTTTTTGTTACTGTGTGTGTGTGTGTGTAAAGAGGGTCTGATGCACATCTGCACGTGGTGATTGAGTGTGCAATACGAACCCACCTCTCTGCAACTCTCTCATTATCCATTTACAGTCGAGTAATCCACATTTCGTCAAATTAGTTCCATTTAAGTGAGCCTCGGAAATCAGCTTTAACACAGAACAACTTGTAACTTAGCCCGAATCCTCCTAATACAGCCCACTCCACTTTGTCGTCGGTACTGATAGGTATGCTGGTATCTATGTGCAATTATTAGTGAGTGATCATCATCATCATCATTCCCTTCAATGGGGAGATTAATCAGGTAGTTCCATACACTAAATGAATGTTTGTAGGCCTGGCTACTGTGCTGCAGGTTTGAAGCCATAACGGCTGGGATCGTTACGGACCGAAGTACAGTCATGTTTGAAGCACTTACAGTGGTCAAATGTCATATTACAACTGAGTTATCTGCAGAACATCTGCGGGTTTGTCGTCTTTGTTCAGCAGATTAAATCTCACACCCTATTCCCTACCTTTGTTATTACCTAGTCCGCCAACTTGTTTCACGATGTAATAGGACCCACTTACCATCAACTATGACGCGTAGTACTGTTACCATGGCATACTTTTTCAAGTTATTGACATTAACGCTCCCGGCGTGACTTGAAAGTCCACCAATATGTACACAATTGCAATAAACTCATAATAGAATTCACACTATTATGGCTCGGCTAGGCGACAGACACCTTACATCCGCCATGAATCACACCCTGGCTTAGTAATCAAATGGCTGATGATACTACACCTCTATTCGGCACATAAATATTGCATTAAATACACCTTGTCGGGCCGCATCATAACCGCAGAATAATTACGGTTTCTTATGTCTTTCACCCACCCGCTGAACGTTCCTTTCCTTCAAAATGCCGACAACAAATGCTACTTTCCAGACCTGTCTAAAATGGATTCATCTCAGGCGTATAAGTGGCATTAAACCACGACCACTGAGTGATTCGGGAGCACGACTTCGAAGATTAAGGCGATGAGTGGCCACATCCATGAAACCCTCGTAATTGCGGGACATCATCCTCATCAGATGTCATCGTTTCTTTGGCTCGTTACATTGACAAGGCAGTCTGCGATTACCGCGATGTCTGGACGGCGATTTATTCAAAATGACACGTTTAGCAGAATAGTTTGTACATTAATCGTGCCACTTCGCAGTGTTTTCTGTCTCCCAATCAGGCTTATCATTGACACTCCTGCCATCATTCAGGCTGAAATTATCGGGCGTCTTGCTTGACATCGAAAAAAACAAAACCACCAAGGACAACATCTGTCCTCAGAATTGTAAAACCTGAAGATCTTGATCTAAGTAAGATGTTAAAAACTGGCAAACAGATCTATCCAACCGTGAACCATTGCGTGGAGAGCACCAAGTTTGGCGCATTCGGTTTATTATCACTAGCTGGCGACAAGCTGAGCAGTGGAATAGCGTCAATCGTGTTAGAGCTGCACCTATAGTTTATCAGGAGTTCATTCTGCAAAAAAACCCACCACTCCGAGTGATTGGTGCAGAAATTGCGGTGCGAAAATTTGGTGCGACGGTTAAAAAGGGGAGAGGCACTTAAATCTCATAAATTAATGTTACTACCATTTGTAAGTGTCTATCACTGACTTTTTTGAGAGACGAGTATGCGAAACTCACCCCTTGACTCTCGCTAGGGTATAAAAGGACTATTTTAATATTTTCTAGTTTTAAAGCGCCTCTGGTGAGGATAAGTATGACATCGATGAAACTGATTATCTGGTTGACGAGAGATTAAAGCCACCGCTCACTTGATGTGTTGGCAGCTGTTGTCAATGTCTCAAGATCTGCTTGCTTCGTGAAGCCCGTGTGAAAATTATGAACCCAGCCTGTTACTTGACATTCCAGTCACTTTCCACCCACCTCATCGCTAATCGACCCACTCGTAGGTGATGCTGCTTTCTGGTAAATGAAATCAAGCATGAAAGAAAGCCACTGCAGGTAGGCAGGGTGCACATTTTAATCAGGCGCAAAGCGCCTTTCACAAAGTGGGTCAGTTAAGGCCACCAGGAGTAAAGTTCACACATTTGACATTAGTACAAACAAAACGAAATGCTCCACAACTGGATATATCAAATAACTCTTGTGCGGAAACACAAACATGCGCGCAAAGGCAGCTGCAAGGCTCCTTTCTCTTTCTCTCTCTCCGCACTCACTTGGCATGTGAACAGAAGTGTAATTGGCACCTAATAACACTTCACTCCGCTGTGATTTCGTACAGAAAATGCGCACACACACACACGCAAAACAAAGTAGAGTTAATAAATAAAGGTTTATTCGTTCAACGTGGGACGGAGGGAGAAAGGGAGTGTCACATTTCACTACAACAATGACATTTGATCACACCCCCACCCACCCTCCCCTTTATCACGATCCCTCGATTACTCAAATCCACACGCTTATGTAAGGAACTGATTTAGAGACGGAATAGCAGATTGGGCGTTCAGTATGCAGCCACCTTTAACATGTGTTTGCATGTGTGTCTACGTGATTGATTCAGCCAACAATGAGGGTGAGTGATAACAGGGCTGAAGTTATCTACTACTCCCCTAGTGAAACTGTCCTCTTGTTTCCAATTCTTGCCTTAATTTGTTTGCCAGATGACAGTAATGATCTAAAATTCCAAAATAGTGCTTAAAACAGACAATTTAGTAGGACATTAACAAGATGCCAAGAGATCAACCTGCATGGAGTTTTTACTTTCAGGTCATTAGATTCTCAATTGTTAAGTGTACGTCTAAATAGATCATACTTTTTCGTAGTCCTACAAAACAGGCTTAAAAGGGCGTGATCAAGAGAGTGGTATACATAGCTAGAAATCACAATCCAGTCAGGTAACCCATTGTTCATTCCTTTTTTGAATGATATCAGTAGTTGATTGGATGGGGAACCTTGTAGCTTTTAGGCGAAACTGTAAAGAGGATCCCTAATTTCATAAAGGCAAGGCAATGCTTCTGTATTCGCACATTCTGCTTGGTATTCCGGTGGTTGAAAAAGGAATAAGTTTAAACTTACGGCGAGACTGATAAGAGCACATAATTACACCCTGTTTCTGCGCAATTCGGCCATCCCCAATTCCTGGGGTGATGGGAGATCTTCATTAACCTTTGTCAAGTCAAACATAGACGCAATAAGCTTCCCGTCTCAACCATTGCCTAAGGATTATCATAACTGTGTACAAGTTAATGCCGGATTGAATATTTTAATGGAAATTTTGAGCCTTCACGGTGGTGGTGCTGAGGATACCGAAGGAGAATGAACTAATCCCCACTGGGATGGAGGGCATTGGAATCGGCCTACAGATATAATAATTATATTAGCAGCTAAAAGCGATAAAAAACTTACAAGTGAAATATTCACTGGAGAAAAGTTAATCGAATCTGGCTGAAATTGTTTAAAATTACTTTAGTGACTGATTTCGAGCATTCGGTGAGCTTCAATTGATCAGCATTGGAACCGCAATTTCTCTTCAGTTATCCCCAACCCTGCCAGAACACTGAACTAGGTTAAGTTGGTCTTCGAGGCAAAGATTCCATTGTTAAGCTTGTCTTATTTTTAATGGGAGTCATTTTAACAAAATCGTCTACATAGTCGTAAGAAGTATTTAGTGATTAGATTAGTAAATGATTAGGAGAATAAATATAAGATTGTGAATTGGTAGACAGTGTCAGGCTCATTTATGTAATCTTCAAAATTTGTGTTTAGTAAGCATTTAAGAGATGGAAGGAGCCTGCGACGACGGCTTTACTATCATGAAAAAGCAAAATTTCTGCGTACTACTTATAACGCTAAAGTAACATGTGGTGGACCATATGATAGGGCTGTACTTGCCACATGATCAGTAATTAGCAATTTTCTGGCTCTTTTTAAGTCTTAAAACATTCGGAACTTGGCAAATTCGTAAACAAAATCGTGCAATAATCCCCGATCGGTCCAGTTTCTTAATTAACATCTCATGAATAAGAACGACAAAATTTCTCTTAGTGATTTGTAAGTGCAACTTTAAACTTTGTAAAAAGGATGAACATAAATGTGTGTGCTTTTCTGAATCCTGGTAAGACCTGAGTGGTATCCAACGGTTGCAAACCTTTAAGCATTTCACCATCATAAATGGTAAGTGATAAGATCCCTCATGCGCCCAACTTTGAGGTAGCATTTATTTCAAAAACCCAAGTAAGATACGATTTTGAAAATTTTTAAAAAGTGACATCCATTTTAACTGTGTAAATACAGCCAATTGGTAGTACACTACTGTGAAATGTAATTTTCAACACTACTGCATCTGCTGCTGCTATGGCCGCCGTCGATGTCGCTGCCGACATGGAATGTCATTTAGCATCAAAGAAATGTCCGCTTTTCACACTCCTGGATGCCCTGTACCTCCTACTAGCACACAAAACAACTGCTTGACTGAAGGATAGCCACGACTCGTATCTTCCTTTATATCTTATACCACAAAAACCATTTCTGGTATTTCATAGACGCTTGAAATGTCTATGAGATTGTTATCAGGGCAGTGGGCTCATGGAAATGCAATAACACCGGCGCGTCAATTTCTCTAAAGGTTTTCCGTTTCACAGTCCGCTTTCCTTGAGGGAAGATCTGGTAGATTCTTAGAACCAACCATAGCCCATAAAGGCATCTTTTGTGTGAAGGTATACCATTCAAAGACGAAAAAATATGTGATCATTCTCAGACCGATTGGTCTCTATGCCTGATTTGGAAATCTAAGTTTAATCAACCCCCTTGTGACATTTTAGTGCAACCACTTATTTCTTAAAGCTTGAAGGCACTAAAATGCAAACCCATTATTTAAAACAAGAAATTGATTTGAGACTAATCTTATGATAGTTTCTTTGGGATGAATTGGATGCATAAAAGCAACAGAAAAGCTGTTAAGAAAAACCCTCATCGATGTTGGCTGCCATAACGCCATGCGTTTCCAAACGAAAACTACGTGCTTTTGAATGAGGCCATTATTCATTCTGGGTGAAATGATCCCAACAACAGACATTCACAGTCTCTTCATATCACAGATCTACTTCTTTGTAGCGCTACTAAGTACACCCGAACTCTCGCAATTCAAGGGATTTCAATTAGTTGAGCTTAGAAGTCGGCCTATTACGGATGAAATGAAACTGAACTGTCCAACATCCCTTACTTTGAGTCGTGCGGTTAGCTTAAAAGCTAAATGCCCGAATCTCCTTCTAAGTGCCTCTCCTAATCGAGGATTTAACTACGGTTTCATAACGTCACTATGGCGATTGTGGAGAACAATGACAGGGGCTGGCATAATTGTCATACTTTCTTTAGCTAAACTCTGGAATTGATAATTTACCTCAAGTCATTTTAAAGTGATTATTCCTTTGCAGTAGAAGGAAAATTTGCAGTAAAGAATTTCGATTGCATCCTCATTTGAGTTCCAAATGCAATGATTTAAAACTGTCTCTGTGGTCTCTCAAGATGTTCACTTTTTAAATAGTCCATGGAGGCGACTTTGGATCTTGATTATGGGCAAGTATAGGCACAATTCTTCTCATTCACAGTCCTTCGTTTTAGTATAACTATAGCTGATAGCAATTTGCGATTCATTTATGCTCCGTTTCAGCCGAAAGTCATCATCAAATTTGAATGTTAAAATCCCTAATAGCGCCATTCATCATGATTTTAACAAGCCCGACATGCGCACATACATGCAAGAAGCCTTGCAAACGGTGGCAGAAAAACTTAATAAGGGAACTTTTTTATCCCGGAGGGGTAATTTATCTCCTTAAATATTGTCTATTCTTGCTAGGCGCAAGGCTCCTCACCGCAGTATCCTCTAGGCGGTGAAGGCAGGAGGCAAATGACATTGCTACGAAATGGATGAAAAAAGGGATCAGTGACTTGGAGGGACGCATTTGCAGAAAGTGACAGTTGCTGTTGGGGCAACGCCAACAAGCTCTCTCTCACGCACACGCTTGGCTGAGACAACCTTTTTTATGACATCGCTTAGAGACGTTTAGTTTAACTTCACCGGAATTTGCATGGCACTTACTTGGTTGGCGACGGTGGTGGCGGTGGCGGTGTCGGATGATCGAAATGACGGTGTTCTGGTAGTACCCAATTTCGTCATATCTAGACTGGGTTCTAAAAAAGGTGAATGGATAAATATCAAACAGGAATTTAACAGCATCTTTTTGACAAGTGTAGCGCTTTGATACTTCGCTGCAGACGAAAGAAGGCATAATAAGAGAGCAGAGGGGCTACTGGTGTGGGCTGCTGGGCGAAAGTACAAGGGTAGTGCCCTTCGGTGGCCGCAAAATCGCTCAATTTGAGTTAGATCCCCAATACTTCCCTCAGTCAATCTACCGCGTCACCCATTACAAAGTAGTCGGTGCTTTACAAACAAAACACCCACGAACCAACCTCACGAATTGTCCAATTTGCGTAAAACCAAGAAGATATCTGGCTTCACCTTCACTGACCCCTCCTAGCAATTCTACTGGATCTAGGGTTTTGTCCTGTTTGGATTCTGTATCAAGGAAAAGGAAAAATGTGCTTGAAATCTAGCATGTCCATCACTAGCTGTGATAACGCCAGTCTAAAACGCGGAGTCATTTGAAAGGAACGGGGTTTAAAATGGTTTCTTTGGATAAGGTCTCCCGTCTATTCCTAGTTGTTATTTTATTTTTACCCCATTGCTGCCTAGCCATATATATTTGTCTTCCATCCAGCTAGGAGAGAGGTAGGGAAAGTGTTACGTGTTTATTTCATTGACATCTTTATAAAGTTACCGTAAACAGCTCTGTAATGAACTTTCACAGATAATCCGTGGCTAGCGTCACTGCAGTTGTTAATGGTGTTCCTGCATAACACGGGACTGAAGAACTTGACAGAGGCATCACAGATTCTTCCATCCGAACCATATGCTTTCCTCTCTTTAAGATTTATCTCCCAGCAGCAGAAATCAGGGTGGTTGTCTTTATGATCGAGTTTGCTTTCCACTGCCACCAATGTAGAGCTTCGACTGAAGACATAATATTAAGGCTAAATATGCATTGTCGACTCACAGAAAGGTTTGAGTGGCTACTAGCATTACGTGGAAGCCATGCCGCCATGCTCTTCAGTCTCCACATAACTAAGACGAAGAGTTGAACTAACAATCCAGGTCCTGCACTAAATATAGACTCTAATGTTGACACACCTCTGAAACAGCAGCCTCTGTTACAGCTTAAATCATGACCTAATCTTTGTTTACCTAGATTTGAGGTAAGTTGTTTAAAGTAGGGTCAACAGCGAGTAAGGCTGTATAATGATACTAATCTAATTGGAGAACAAGTCGGACAGGATGTAATCCATTGCGAAAATCGCATTATTTTCCTATGTGCATTTTAAGGTGAAAAAATAAAGGAAATTTTTTCAGCCTTAAAAATGGAGGTTTCTACTTTCATTACTGATGATAAGTAGACGCTCCCTTATTAATACCCCAACCGTCAAACACCTCCATTCCACGACTGCATCTTTTCTAAATGAACTGCTGGCTCTTTCTGAGTATGTTCCTTCTGATAATAGTTATATTGAAATAATTTCAGATTAATCAACTATTCAAGAGTTTGGTCGTAAAAAGTACGGCAATCATGCCAATCCTTCGCACTGTTCTCCACAATCTGCATTCAGGCGCTAAGATAGGGTAGACACTTTCCTTTCACGCAAACCGCACAACTCATATTGTGGGGTCTTAAAAATTACAACTTTATTTTACCACAAATAGTCTGCCTCCCAAGCTCCCTTGATTTGAATTCCTGAATTTCTATAGTTAGGGTAATCTTGGAAGATCCGTGATGTGAAGGGGCTGTAGGTATTGGTGGTCAGGGTCATGTCACCATAAGAATGGAAACGTCGTGCTAAACGATCTAGACGTATGCAGCTGTAATAATCAGCATTAATGAGAGTCATACTGAACGGCTTATTTGCTGTGGTTGTGCAGAGTTTTCGCATAAATTTTCTCCCAACTAGACTCTCGTAAGATTTTCCTTAACTCATTTTCTTGTCTTAGGTAATTAGTTTGCATGGTAAAAACATCCACGTTATAAGAGGTAAGTGGTTACATTAGAGTGTCCGAAATGGATTGGTTGAGCCTGAGAAAACAAATCAGATAGAGATGTGGAGCCGCGAGACTTCTCTGAAGACGAAAGAAGATATAGTACTCGGGCAGAATATGTATTGTCGATGTACATTAGGGCCGGGGGCTACTGGCACAACGCAAAAGTCAGGCCCCCCAGCAAAGGTACTAAGGCGAAGTCTTTAATTAACCAGTTACCAAAACTGAGAGCTAAATAAATAATTAAGGTATTACAGTGGTGTTCTTGGTCTGCGGATGAATAAGTTTCCTTCAGTCTTTGAACAGTACATCTTGACACAAGAGACCATTTTTTGGGCTATTACGATAAATTCTTCTCCGAAAGTCAGCGATTGTTTTATAAAGGTAGACTGCAAAAGTGGAACTTGTCGGAGTGCTTAGCTCAATTCCTTAATAGCGTTAGTAGACAACAGCTCCTAAGTGTACTAACATTGTTGCAATTCCTTGAACCCCGTGCCCCCCCAAACAAAACTCAAGAACACTTCACCTGTGGATGAAATTTCAGAAATTGCTTTTGTGGCATAAAACACAAGGAATGATATGAGCTGTGGCTATCCTTTAAGTCAGGCAGTAGAAAGCACGAGGTATCCGGGAGGGTGAAAACGCTGACATATGTATTTGGCGCCAAATGGTATTCCATGTCGGCAGCGACATTAGCGGCGGTGGTAGCAGCAGTATGAGCGGACTAATTTACACAAAATTAAAAGAGAGTGTCAGAGCGCTTTGAAGGTGCACAATGTCATGGTGCAAAATTTACATTTCATGTGAAGTTCGCAGCCTCTAGTCGCCTTTTTTTCTCTCAGCATTTACAACACCCCGAGGTGTGAACGCAAAGAGCATGGAAATTAGCCCCGACACATGTTGACAAATTGGTGGCAATTACCGCACTCTCCTTCAGCTAACGCACACACTGTTACGGGAGGTCGTCCTAATTATGCTGTTAACAAGCGGAGTACCCGCGACCAGAGGCACATGACTTCAGCAGGCTGATGGCGCGCTGGCTACCTTCACGCTCACACGCACACACAAGTGTGAAAGTGGTGATAGTGGTAGCGACATACCGATTAAATGACATTGCTGCCAATTTCTGGTAGAATTAACATGCTGGAAGACAAACATTAGACAAAATGCTTCTGTTAGAAGGCATCAGGTCCAGCTGGGAACACATCTCTACACTTGCCTTAGCAAACTTGCTTAATTTATCTTGCTTACCCCATGTGTAATTTCAACAGCTGTTATGTGTCTACCAACTAGAGCTAGAAAGGCGTTTCTAGTGCTTTGGTGATGATCTGAGAAAGAGTTAGAACCAATAGACATACAGAGGCATGGCGAGCAGTCTTTAGACTTTTTAACTTCAAGTTGTTTAAATAACAATGCGGGGCGCCCCGTCACTATATTGTGACAGTGCTTGAACTTTAATATAGGTACTAGTGCTTGCAAGTTGTATGTCTTCGATGAGAAGAAATTGCATTTATCACCACCTACGACGCAGCAGCAGGCATGTAATCACTACCGTTGATGTCTTCCGTCTTGATTAAGGGTGTCTGAGGTGACACAAAATCCACGACTGTTACTGGTAATAGGACAGACTCGGCCCTTACCTTATGTCGAACTGTAAGTCCCACTAAAACATAATTCTCCCTCTTATTTATGTTTATAGCTGGTACTTCCTGGAAAAAATTTGACTGCTGGAAGATATTCTTCCACTAGTAAAATGGTAGTCTATTTTAAAAGCCCTCCTGCCTTTAGGCTGAAGGATCTTTAAACATCGCTCTCAATTCGTGTCAAGGCGCGTCACCCGCAAATACTCACGAAGTGACAGGAATTCTTAGAATAACTAGTAGCATACTCAAAAATGTCAAAAGAATTCCTGCCAAAAAGGATAAAAATTTTTGCCTCCATCTTGCTTGGCGCAATTTAGGGACACGTCTAGGGAATTGATTTCAATTTAGTCAGTTCTGTGTTTATACTTGAAACTAATCAAGCAAAAGTGTTAACTTTTTATTCTGTATGTAGCTCTCTGAGACATTTACAAAGAGATTAGAAGACATAGAACTGGCACTGGATATGTTTGTCGATGTAGGGAAGGGATGGGGAAAGGGGGCAGCTGACATGGTCCAGAGGCCAGTCTGCCCGAAGAGGAAAATACGGCGGAGTCCTAAATGGTCTGTTATGAAAAAATGTTATACACTAAAATAATTACATCGGCCCCTTTCCCATTTGAGTGTCTTCCTCAGCGCTCCTCTTGGTCAGCCTCCCACGTCGGCTATTACAACGTAGTCGGTGATGTAGGAAAGTCACCAAAGAACCAACCGCACCAGTCATTGAATTTGAGTGCATTTGAAAAGATATTTGTCCACAACGTCACTGAAACCTCTCGGTAGTCTTACTTGATATGTAGTTTCGTCCCGTTTAGGAACTGTACTGAGGGACGGGGAGCATGCTGGCCATCTCCTATGCTCATCGCTAGTCGGAAGGACACTGGACTAAAACCGGAGTCATTTAATAAAAGACGGGATGATCTACATTTAAAGCTGGTGTTGCTTCAGTAGTTAGTAGCGTTTCTGCAGATCACGAAACTGGGGTAGTTGTGGAAGATAAACGTCATTATTAAACCTTTTGTTAGGTGTCACCACATACCACACAGCCATTGCCATTGTCCCGTCACATTAAGGTTCAGCATTCAGCAACAGACATCAGTGTGGTTGTACCTTAGAATCGGTTTTTACTGCCATTAGTGTAGCGGCCCGAGTCTTTTCTAAAGCCAAAAAAGACAATACTGGGGCAGAGTATGTATTGTTAGAGCACAGAAGGATTGGAGGGTGACCGGCATGATCCGGAGGCTATGCCTTTCAGTGTCTACGTAATCTAAAAGAAGAGCTAGACAGCCAAATTGTTGCAATCCAATTGCTCTCAACGAAACTGATTATAAGTGAATTACAATCAGGGTGGAAAAATTCAAGTGAAGTGACGCGTCTAGTTAGTAAAAGTTTTAAGTTTAATCCACCAAAATGCTGCTATCCACTTGCTAGCATGATTAACGAAATTCTAAAGCCTCCATGGCTAACATTCCGTTTAAGTGCTGCTCCTCTATAAATGCTTATTCATACATTTGAACAGCTGTTTCCACAGGGGAAGAATATGGAAGCTTTCTATGCCTCTCCTCTCCTCTTTGCTTCGCCCCCACGGCCTACAACACGACAATGAATGCGTTAATTTGTGAGATTACAAAAACGACCTCCGACCCATGAAAAGCACGGGCTGCCTCTTGCTAAAGGCACTTTTTCTTTGCTTCTCCATGGGTTTTTTGCCGCCTTGTCTTATAATTAATTGGGCCATTCGATACGTACCCGTGTGTGTGCGAGCGGACACCCTTGTTGTAATCAACTCTAACAACTGTGTCATTAGAGCTGGAGGGCTTTTTTTACTAGTGAACAACAATGAAATCGTTAAGAATTATCAAAAAACCGGCGAAAGGAGAGGGAGGCAAAGGGGAAGGGGGTCTGTGTACCTTCACTGCAATTCTGCCAGTTTGTTTAAGTAAGATGTTACTTCTCCTTGACACAAACCCTGTAAATCCTTGACTTAGTGAACTTCAGCTGTCACTACTGCAATGATGGTGAAGCACTTTTACAGTTTTTGCTCAAAATTCCTCTCATCACACGTGATACACAAGACCACAGTCAAGATTGTGGCAAGTGAGAGAGTTGTACGTGCTGTCACTGTCTGGCATCAAGGCGACATTTATGAACGAAAAAATTTCATTTGTGAATAAAACTAGAAATAAATTGAACACCAATAGGAAATTGGTTTGTTGAAAAATAGTTAAAACTAAGAAAATACGTTAAATGCCTCCACTGTCTGGAAATGACATTCCTGTAAAATATAGCTTGCGCAAATGACCTAGTTAATTGGGACTGATGATAAAAGTAATTCTGACATTAGTGTTTTTCGGTTTTCAATTCGTTTTCAAACAAATTTCGCATAAGGTAGAGACAGGTTGAGTTGACACTTTTTACTAGGCTAAATCTGGACACACCTCGGTTACATACTACTTATTTGCAGATGGCTTAGAAGTAGTTGAATAAGCTTACTATTTTTGATACTTTTGACAGTTTAATGATCGAAGATGTAATCTTATGGCCAAGTAATGATTGAACTACCTGACGTATGAGAGTTAAAGCTGTCTTCGGCTTTCAGCACCATCCTACGGATATTTTCCAAGATGAAGCTACAAAGAAAATAATATAAAAACCTCGACAGATTAAAGTGACATAAAAGTCCGATTAATAAATAAAGTTGTCGAAATTCTTCTTTACCATAGAGTTATGCATTTTAGACAAAGAGAGTCATAATTTACCTAAAAGTACGTAGTTAATAAATGTGGTTTCTGTTTTTGCTTGAGCGGCGACTTTTACTTTGTTCCTTCAAGGCAAGTATGAGTTCGCTTCTTAAAATAGTCTAAAAACCTGCAGCGCTTAAACGTGCTATTTGCCAATCTACCTAACAATTTTTGTCTATTTTTTGGCACATTCGCTTTTCATACGGACGTGAACGTTACAAAATGTTACCATAGCCATGCTACTAATTAGAATAAGTAAATAGTTTGTGATGCAAGCCTGCTTATATTTCAGGTGTCTTTCGCTTAAATCGGATTGGTTAACTAAACAATCTGCTGCGGATCTGACTTTATTTATTTTTAAAACGCCTGATTTGATTCGGTATAAGTTACAAAGCTCATTTTCTTTTAAAAATGAATTTTTCTGAAGAAACTGAATATTAAAGAGATTTGTTCGTACCAGTAATCAAATTTGGGAAATTCTATTTCAGAGGATATGTTTTTGCACCCTAAAACTCTTTAAATTACTCTTTCAAAGGATTGAGTAACAATTGCTCGCCATAAAACTATGTTAAAGATTAATTGTTCTTAAAAATGGTGACATGGATTGAGTCCGGTTTACTTTAACCGCTATGAACAAGGTCAAGTAAATCATAAAATAATATTTAAAAATCATATTGGAGGAAATGATTTACAGTCACGTCAGGTTTTCTCCGTTTTGAACAGAGTCACTCCTAAATTTAATAAAATGTACTTCGATAAGAGCTTGTAACCGAGCAACTCATCAAATGTTTTACAAAATTGCTTTAATTGTAAATGAGTTGCAACTGAAATGTAAAAAGAAGATTTACTTAGTAGCCATTTACATCTTAGAGATCGCCATTATTTTGTTATAACAACGATTTGTGAGAAGTCCAGAAAGTTGCATCCAGAGGTGACCATGTAAGCATTCTGAAATTCAGGAGGCGGATTTGCAGAATCTTTTTTTCAGTCAGTAAAATTAAAGGTTTTAGAATGAACTAAACGATGATGTCGACTTTACATATTTCTGAGGATTATCCTCAGTCTGTGGACAAAAGCATAAATGTTTCTTACCGGATAGAATCACATTTTGTAAATTTCAGCTTTTATTACCATTATCCGTCTTCACTAATATAGATGTGAAAAAGGGACGCTAGTAGACTACTTAATAAACAGACAAAATCTCCAGATCCAGAAACCACCAACATTGGACTTTTAACAGGGTAATGTAGCACCCTGATACTAGGGCTGAGTATGTATTGCCGACGTGCAGAGGGGCTGAAGGGTGGTTAGCGACATCGCCCGGGGGACATGCCGCCCAGAGGAAATAAAATGGCCTGGCCTTAAGTGCCTACGAAACTAAATTGAAGAGATACAAAACAATCAAAGCGTCGCATAGGCCTCTCACCTTTTGATCGTCATCTCCGGCGTGATCCTTGGTCAAAATGCCGCCTCGGCTATCATTCGGTACTGCAAGAAAAACACCCACAAAACAACAGCTCCAGTCATCCAGTTTGCGTGGGGTTTAGTCCTGTTTGAAAAGTATATTGGCGGAGGAGGAAAATGTGGTGGCCATCTAGCATATCCATCATGTGGCGTAAGGACACTCGTCTAAAATGTGGTTTCGAGTCTACTACTCCTTGCTACCTTTTTCTCCTTATCTGGATTTTATCCAGCTAGTTGAGACTTGGAGGCCATTTCGCCTATTCACTTTTTGACATCTCCATGCAGGCACTGTGGAAAGCTCCGCCTCGAACTTTTTGGATGATTCACAGCCATGGCTGTTACCGCTCGCTTCATTTGTTAATAGCTTTCCAGCAGAACAAGGGAGTGGAGTGATTGCATAAGGTAGACATCACTTCCAGCCCTTCTGTTGGGGATTATCACAGATTCGCCCAGCCTTAGCATATGCCCTTCTTCCGTCACGTTAAGGTTTAGCATTTAGGAATGTAAATCATGAAGAGTGTCCTCTAGGATCAGGTTCGCTTTCCTCTGCCATCAATGAATCGCTTTGCAATCTTTTCTAAAGACAGTGAAAAGCATAATTCCTGGACGAAATATGTATTTCCGAAGTGGAAAAGTGTCTGGATGGAGCCGCTGGCATAGCTTGGAGGCCATTCCATCCAGCGGAAGTACAAAAGTGGAACCTTCAGTGCCCGCGAAATTAAAACGAAGAGTTCTACAAACTACAGTCAGGGCCAAGAAATGCTAGCTAATCTTGTCATTTTTGCCAAGTTTACCATTAGCTTCACAGACATGCCCGTCTAACAAGTCCTATAATAACTAGCTGCATCAAGTTCTGATTCAAAGAGAACCTGAAGAAGAAAAGAAAAATGCTGCAGGATATTTTTGATCCAAAGACGATTGCATCTTTGAGTTTTGAACAGGATTGAGTTGATGAATTTATTGACAGGCGTGTTACTGAGACCATCATCAAACTCCCTGACAAACGTTGGTTACATTACTGTATTTTAATTCCACCCAAACTAGGGAAGGAAAAGTTAAAGTTCATTTTGAGCCAGGGATAGGAAGAGTTTAAGGGCGCTGAGCAGTTGACATCATGAAGTATGCAACAGTCGCTCAGTCTCAGGATACTGATTTCCTCAAACCTATTTTGCAAACCATGTTCATGGGTTTTAGTGGTAGGCAATGATTAAGAAGCCTCTATTTATATGCATAAACAGTTGTCCAAGGTGTGTGATTATTTTAGCCGTAAACTGTTGATGTTACAGCCAGTTCGCGTTTAAATCCACCTATCCATCGGTTAGACCGCACAGTAAAGTAAATAATGGCCAAAAACAACCCAATTTACATTTTTTTATCCCTTGCGACGATGAGGAGCGATCCACTCAAACTGGAATTTGTAATTTTTTTCTCAGAATAAAATTTCATGGTATGGAGGCTCTACTACACAAAATACCGTCCCATCACAAGGTGGCAAACGATACTGGTAGTGACTGTGCTAATGTCACAACGTAAGACTTGTGTCGAACGAAGTTTTTTTATGAAAGAACTCCACAGCTAACTCCTCCTATGGAGGACTTCAACCAGACTCTTCACAGTAGTGGAACGCTCAGCTGCAACAGGTCATCTAAATAGCGTAAACAGTTTAAAGGCCCCCTTCAAGGCCGCCCATAGCGGTTACCAGCCTACAGCCTCGGTAGTCATTCCTGTAAATATTTATTCAACAAGTCGACCTGCAGTTTGCAGTGTTTTGAAATTACGCAGGTAGCGAATAATTCGATGAACTAGAAGTGTTACATAGTCAGTCATAAACCTGCAATTTTGTTAAGCTAGAGCAAATTGGAAGCCAGGGCAAATTGTAGAAGGTGGTTTAATTGTACTATGCTGAGGTAAGTGGAGAGGAACTACAATCGACGACCATGAGGAAAAGGAAAGGCGATAGGCACTCTTTAAAAGGATAATCAGCAAAAGCCATAGTCCCGCTTTGACTTGAACATCCACATTGTCCCCTCCTTCCTACCGGACGGAAAAAATGAATTAAACGAGGTGGTTGAACTGCACTATAATTCATCCTTCATGCTCTACTTTGTGGACTTACACCGATTTTCTCTAAGGCCAAATCAAGGCATTCGTGTGTGCCTGTTTGCGGCCAGGAATTAGGGTCGCCAGGTCCTTTGTTCATGCCTTGATTAACTGTGGTACAGGCAAAAAAGGGTGTAAGCGACCTCATTTTACACGGAAGACACTAGAGAGTTATTAAATTACAGAATTAAAGGGAACTCGAGAGATGCTGCTGAAGGAGCAAAAGGCGGTTCATTAAAACTGGAGGGTTTCCTCCACCTCACAGATCCCTTCAACGAAAATAGTGACAAGAGAGGTATCTAACGAAATTTTTTTATTGTTTAGTTTTAAATGGATGTATTTAAGCCGTTTTAGGCAAAGTGAATTGCCAAGACGTCAGTTCTGAGGCAAATATCAAGAGGAAACTAGAATACTATAAATTAAAGGTAACCATTTTATTAATTTTATAATACTTTTCAGTTGCCAATATGCTCCAAAAGCCTACAAAACCTGACAAGTGCCATGTAACGAGTCACGAATATGGGTATATGACTATGTTTACAATTCTGACAGAAAGATTTGTCTCTCTTGCAGTTGCGTTACATAGCAGTTTATGTCTCGATAAGGTGCCCAAGACCAAAAGTTTCAAGCACCGAATGAAGGTTTGCATGACACTCTGAGCTCTGCTTTTGAACTTCCGCAAGTCGACATGGCTTCTGGGCACATTCTGCCTCGGTTCCGTGGCTTCTTTCGTCCCAAGAAAGGACGCGGAGCGCTACATTCGTGGCAAATCCAATGAAAAATTACATCTACTTAAATTTTTGCTTCTAAATGTTCAACCTTAACGTGATGGAATAAAGACCATATACTGTGGATGGGAGAATCCGTAATGATCCCCAAAAGAAGGGTTGAAAATGACGTCAAACCTTAACAACCACCTCAATACCCTTGCCTTCAGGAAAGCTGTTAACAATGAAAGCGACACTAGCCGTGGCCGTACACCATCTGAGAAATTTGTTATGGAGTCATCAACAGGGCCTGTGTGAAGATGTTAATCTAAATAGCTCGCGATACCTCCCTCATTTCCACCATTGGACTGGCTGAATAGAATCCTGATAGAGTAATAGATGGATACGACTGGTCAGCACTAAAGTGTGAAAGAAGTGCAAGGAGGAAGAAGCGCGAAACTTCACCTTCGCGAAACAATTTAAAGTCGCCTCTCCTATTAAATGACTCGGCTTTTAGGCCAATTTTCTTGCGACTGACGATGGAAATGCAAATTGATCAGCACATTCTCCTTCCCCCCAATACACTTCCCAAACAGGATGAAACTCCAGATCCAGCGGAATTGCCGAGGGGGACATGAGACATTGCGGTCAAACATCTTCTCCCTTTCACGCGAATAGGATGACTGGTGCTGTTGTTTTGTGGATGATTTTCCTACAGCACCGAATACGTCGTGACGATCGACGTGGGAGGAAGACCAGGGAAGGGCTGGGGACGGCGGTCAAAAAGTGAGTGACCTATGTAATGCTTTCATTGTTTATCTAGCCCTTTGTTTTAATTTCGTGGTCACTTTAGCCCTTACTTTTATGCTTTTGCTGGGCATATCGGCCTTTAAGCTATGGCAACAGCCCTCCCCACAGCCCTTTTGTATGCCGCCAAAGCATTTTCTGCTGCGGTATCGTGTCTTCTTACATCTTCAGAACAGAACCTTGGCAATACAGCAATTTTAGCCGAATTTATTTACAGGAAGTCGAGCATTTACATTTCCGGTGTATATAAAAGCCATGAATAACCAAGTATCAGATAAAATAACTTGTGTCTTCATAGAATTGTACATAGAAAAAGGCCGATGCAGCGTTTGGTGGCCAGTAAGTAGAACAATCACTTTCTCATTACACGTTGATATCAAGTTGTTAGGATAAACAGATGCCGGTGTATCAAGTGAATAAATCAGTCTTCTTGTAAATATTTTTTCTACCTATAATTCGTAAATAGTGACTGATTTGATTTACCTGAGTGGCAAAAAAAGATGTAACTTTTACCAACTAGGAGTGTCCATTCACCCCTGACGTTGGTCACATAAACCAAGTGTTTTACTGTTATAAACAATTGTTTTTTCCGGAACTTTACCCTACTGCAATATAAATACATCGTGTTTCGTAAGTCGGTTTGGTTGTAAACAATGACTACCATAGAAATTAGCCTTCTTGTACTGGCAGTCTGTGTTTGCTCAGTCTGCAATGCAGCACCACCAGCCATTGCCACGGCCGAGCCGGATCAAGGGGCTGAGGTCGTGAGTCCGATGGAGGTCATCACTACTACGGCTGAACCGATTCGGGACAGACTGTGGACCAAGTGTTTGGACATATGCAATGAGGACGGGTGTCAGCGCTTCTGCAAGAATGTAGTCCTTCGTGTGAGGTTAAGAAGACGAAAAAACCAGTAGAGCAAATGTTACAACTTAACTCCTCCCATCAATCTCCCTTATTTAAAAGAAACGATTTAGCCATCCTTTTGCTACTTTTTGCGTTTTGCATACGTGTATGAATCCGTAAGTTGACTTTTACCTTACTGTTGACATTGATTAGGGGTACGAGTCGAGCAAGACTTGACACGTTCATCAACAACACACCACCCATAGGTGAAGCCCTGGTTTTCTCATTTAAACGTGGTCTTTGTTAATGATGGATGACCCCTTACGCCAAGCCGTGTGGCTAAGACATTGGTTGAATCTAAAACCACGTAGATTAAGGATGTTTACGATCTAGGGGTAATTACGCTTTCAGTTCATGAGCTGCTGTTTCACGTCCGAATACTGAGCCATCTGAACTGTTAAGGTCAATTTATCTCTAAGACCTGAATAGTGAAAGTGTCAATGAGGAGGCAGTAGTGGACTCTTGTCATGGTCCACAAAAAATTTGCCTTAATAATGATCCTAAGTACTATGTGTCATGAAGACAAAAGGGGACATTATACTAAAGCAGAATACGCAAATTGGATGTGTAGAGGGGTTAAGGCTACAGACAAGGTGCGAAGGCCATTCCGACCAGCAGAAGTACGATAGCGGAGCCCTAAAAGACCCGTTACCACAACCGGAAGTTAAAAGTGGTTGAAGTATTACAAACTGCTTCTCTCCTTTTGAGCATCTTTCTCGGGGCTCCACTTGGTCGAACTTTTACTTTGGCCACCACAATGCAGTTGGCGTTGTAAGAAAAACACCCTCGAACCAATCACGACAGGCATCGGATTCGAGTGCAAGGGAGAAGATATCTGGCAACAACGTCACTGACCCTCCTTAACGATCCCATTGGATCCAGACTTTTAGCCTGTTTAAAAACTGCCTTGGGAGAAGCGAGAATGTGCTAGCCTTCTATTGAATCATTCGCCATTCCTAAGGGCGTTAATACTAATGGCAGTTTCGCGTTTGTTCGGCCCTGCCACTTTTTCTCACTTCAGTGCTGACCAGTCATACCCATCTATCACTCTATCAGGATTCTATTCAGCTAGTCTAGTGACGGAAATGAGGGAGGTATCACGAGTTCACTACATCAACATCTGCATACAGGCCCTGTTGATGACTCCATAACAAATTTCTCAGATGGTGTACGGCCACGGCTAGTATCGCTTCCATTGTTAATAGCTTCCCTGAAGGCCACGGGATTCAGGTGGTGGCTGAGGTTTGACGTCATTTCCAACCCTTTTGTTAGGGGTCATCATAAATTCTCCCATCCACAGCACATACCCTTCTTTCACCACGTAGTTGGGCATTTAGTATTAAAAAGTTGAGTAGGTGTAATTTCCGATTGGATTTGCTTTCTGCTGCCACGAATGTAGCGCCCCGCGTCCTTTCTTAGGACGAAAGAAGCCATGACGCTCGGGCTCGTACAAAAGGCCTGGTTGCAAGTGGCATGGCCTAGGGGCTAGGCTGACTGGCAAGGTTGCTGCAGTGGGGCTATAAGTGCCCCCGTATTAAAAATGAGAGTTGAACAAACCTGTGAAGCATTTACCTGGGTTCTCCACATTCCCACTACAGCATTTGTAATTTATTAAGAAAACACCAAAAATTAGCAATTCTACTAACATGAGTTGGGGTGAGCAGACTATTCAGAAATGAAGTGGAAGATGTTTTCGAATTTGTGAGTTTAACTGTTTAAATTTTATTTTATCTCCTCTTTCAGTTAACCTATATTTACTTTTTAGGCCTTAATTAATAGAAGCCGAACCGGTATAGCTTTGGATATTTCTATGACTATTCCCCTAATTCGGAGCCCTCTGTACTTTTAACTTACTTTTTTATTGAAAATAAATGCTCCTCATGAACTTTATGATAAATGAGAGCCACACTTATTGCCTTATTGCTCCTCCTTCACATTTGTTCCCATCCATTAGATAGCGCCACAAGAAAGCGTCGTTGCATTCAATCAGCATCCCCACGGGCTGATTGAATGTCCACCACATTCCTTCTTTTTTGGTGACAATAATGGTTCATTTGGGAAAGACATTAGAGCTTTCTAAATAATAAAGCGGTAGTGATTAATGTCTTTCACATTATATTAATAAGGCTCTAAAAGGACGGATTATTAAGCTCAACGAGGTTCCTTTATCAGGATAATTGAATTTTGTTGTTTTAAATTAATAACTAAAAACTAAATTGTCTTACCAGAGTTAATTTTTTTAAATACAAAAAGACGAAAGCACTTTTACAAGAGCTGGGGATAATTAACTACGGGGCAAAAAGTGGTTAGTTTGTTTTTAATCGGCGTCACATATGTGTGACATGTGTCTCCCTTAATTTTATTTGGAAGTGATTGCTCCGAGTAGCGTCAAAAGGCTATTTTTGGGTTTAAAATAATGATATAGGGGCAATTTAATCCTGTTTAATAGGCTAACATTTTTCAACTACTCCGTAATGATGAAATTGGACAGGCTGGTAGACAACGTGATAGTGTTATGGTAAAAAACGATTCGGTGAGAGCTGGCTTTCCTCGGAAATCCGCGTTGCAACTGTGTTAGGAAAAGTTGCACAGTTACCGATGATACAATATTTCATCTATGTTTAACGAGAAGTCAAGGACCTCTCAAAGATGAGTTGCATGTCAAGGCCAAATATGGAGCCACAGAGTTTAAGTGGAAGTCAATTCCACTTTTGTCGATATTTAAGTTTAAGGTGTAGCTTTTAGTAATTTCATAGTTTGTTCGGGTGCTTGGGCGCTTAGGGCTCCGCGATTTTACTTCTGCTGGGCGGCATGGCCTCCGTGCCACACCAGTTGCCCCCTCCCACATCAGCCCAACTGTATGTTATCAATACATTCACTGGCCTCGAATTATAACTTCTTTCCTCTTCAGGAAATACTCGAGGCGCTACACTAGTGGCAGTGGAAGGTGTTTTTGTTCCCAAGGGGCAGCTAAGCTGATTTCAATTACTATATGCTAAACGTTAACGTGACAGAAAAGGGCATGTCCTACGGATGAGAATGTCTGTGAAGACCCTTGATAGAAGGATTGAGAATGATGTTCACTTTTGGCAGCTACCTAGGTCCCTTTTTTTGCAGGAATGCTAGTAACAGCTGAAGTGACACAAGCCATAGCCATTAATCACCTAAAAGTTCGTTACAGAGCTGTTTATGGTACCTGTATGAAGGTGCCTCTGAAGTGAAGACTCTATGCCACCTATATTTCCCTACTAACTGAATAGAATCCGGACAGATAGATAAGGCTGAGGAGTTCTGAAGTGGGAGCAGTAACAAGCAAGAACAAGCTAAAAATTTTTGCCACAGAAACTATTCTAAACCCAGTTTTTTATTCAATGACTCTGCTTTGGGATAGTGTTCTTACGACTAGCGATGACCAGCTCATTCCCCTTCCCCGAATGCGCCTCCCAAACAGGGAAAAAACTCCAGATTCAGTGGAATCGCCAAGAGGGATCAGTGACGTAGCGGTCAAATATTATTCCAGTTGCACGCGAATTCGGTTATTGACACGGATGGATCGTTGATGTATTAGTTTATAAAGCACAGGTTTTGTTGTGATAGTAAATGAGAGGGGTTGACAAAGGGTGCGAGGGGCCCGACACTCAAAACCAGGTGAGGGGTCTACGTGATTCTTTGTTTGTCCAGCGCTACATTTTGCTTTTCACTCACTTAAGCCTCGGTCTTTGTGCTTTCGTTGCGCAGTACGGCCTCTGGATCATGTTGGTAGCTCCTTATTCTAGAAGCCTTCATTAATAAGTATATGAAAATTAAGGCAAAATCAACCATTATAAGGTTCCTAAATAGATTAGCTAAACTGGTAATCAAAGATAAACAATAAAACACTTTTTAGAAAAAAAAATAGCGCTGCGGTTCCCCACAGCACCTCCAATTTTCTGGGAACGAAATCAGTTCGTAACAGTGAGACTTTGCCTATTTTCAATTTTAAGGTTACAGCAAATTCCATAACTTTACATCATTGGCTTATAAATTTCTACAGCATCACGGTCCATAAATGCTGTAACATCACTTGCCTTCGGAAAAAGGGTGTATGAAGACTGAGGAGATGAGACTGTGTACCGCCCTGGGACTTCCCCAAAGCCGAAAGGAGGCACGATACCGGAGCAAAATATGTATTTCCCACAGGGCCTAGAGGAAGTACAGAAGGGGGGCCTTAAGTGCCCTTCAATCCAAAATCGTACAGTTGATTATTTAATCATCGCATTACCATTTATGATATTTTCTCAATGTAAAGAAGAGGCAGTAATTAATTTACTGACGTCTTCTTGATAACTCAAATACTCGATTTAACAATTGGAGAGAATGTATAGTTTTTTTATGTGTTAGCTATTTTCCAGTTCAGTGGGTTTTGTGAAACAAACGTAAGGTTGAGCGCTTGAATGAGCTAAACTGCTACAAAGCCTGATTTGTAAGTGACAATCTAACCGCATTCAGATTACTCAGGGCTGTATTTTAGTTGATATTCACTGTAAAGGTAGATGTGATATTTTGGCTGTATGTTTAACTCTGCAAGTCGTACTTCCGCTCTGTGGCCCAACCTCCGGGCCATACCGGTACGCACCCAGCTTTTATGTTTGTTTGAATGTATCTCTTAGGTGAGAAGCGGTAAATGTACGCCAACTTCATGACTGGGTGAACACCATTGATCCCTGAAGAGGAAACAGACTTCGAATCCAGATGCCTCGACTTACTATGCACTTTCAAACCACTTATCAAATAAAAGATATCCTTCTCTAATCAACCTTCTCGTTCTAAGGGTATGACAGCAGAGGTAGAGAGAAACGCTGAACCTGTTACATATGCGCTCTTACACAACTTTAATTTATTATGAATATAGCTAAAATTCGTCACACTGCATTCAAGTCTTTTATTCATTTCAGATTGTACTACTCTTGGTTAGTCCGAAAGCACTTCTCTACTAGGGGCAATGCTTAATTAGTGTACGCATTTGGAATTTAAATTGTACTGTATTACCTCGATTGATTAACTGGTCATCTTGGTTATGCACGCACTTAAAGCTGCTCCTTTGTACTGGCGCGGGGTGGCATGGCTCCGAGCCACGCCAGTAGCCTTCACGCTCATCCCATCTGTACGTCAGCTATGCAATTTCTGACCTCTTTCGTCTTTAAAAAAATCTCAGACAGCTACATTAGTGGCAGCACAAAGCAAACCCTACCCCAAAGTGCAATTACTCTAATTTTTATTGCTGATTGCTTAACCTTAACGTGATGAAAGAAGGACAGATGGGAATATCTGTGACAACCCCCAACAGAAGGGTTGAGAATGATGTTCAACTTCGGCACCTACTTTAGCAGCCCTGCCTTCTCCATGATTGCTAGTAACAAATGAAGCTATTCTAGCTGCGGGTGTAAACTATCCGGAAAAGCTCATCATGAAGCTACCAACGGTACCTAATATGAAGATATCAAATGAGAGAAAACGCAATACTTCCTCCACCTATCTACTCTCTGGTTAGAAACCAAATAGATACAGCTGGGTAGCGCTGAAGTGAGGACAAAGTGGCAAGGGGACATAGATGCGAAACCATATCCCCAGGAGACTATTTTAAGTCCCTTCCTTTATTAAATGATTCTGCTTTTAGCCTTGCATTCTTACCACCAGCGATGGACACACGAGATGACTGGCAAGTACAACCTTCTCTCAATACACCTTCCATGAAGGATGAAACAGTAGATCCAGTGTAATTGTCAAGAGGTATTAGTGGCGTTGCAGCCAGATATCTGCTCAGTTGGACGCAAATTTGATGGATGGCCCTGTTGGTTCGTGGATGAAATTTCGCACAGTGCTGACTGCATTGTGATGGCTAACGAGGGAATTTGACCAAGGAGAGCATTGGACAACGTTTAAAAGGAGATAGAGCCATATAATTCCCTGATTATTTTTTTGACTATACGTTATTTGGTTTCGCGGACACTTGAGACTCCGCCTTTGTACTTCCTCTCGGCTATGCCAGTAGCCAACCAGCCCTTCTCTACGTTGGTAATACATATCCTGTCCTATTATTACGTCTTCTTTTGTCTGTAGGAACGACTAGGGTTGCCACAATAATAAAAAACAATAGATTGCTTTTAGAGAAAAAAATTTATGAATCATAAGGAGGAAATGAACGCGTTTGGTTTTATAATAATAGTTAAGAAATAAGTAAATTGAATGCACTTTTTGTCTTTTGAAGCATTTTTAAATACCACGCTAAAGTTTTCAATATTGTTTTTTTCATCTATGTGGTTAAGCTGTGACGGAGGCGTGAAGCTGCGCCAGAAATTGTACCGCTACTGGCGCGGTTGGTGCCCACCCACGCTGGAGGCGATATCGGCTTTGGCCAAGGGCAAATAACTCCCCACTCCAGTACTTTGCCTCCTTTTCCCAAGCGTTACATGTACTAATCCCACTGTAGTCACCTTTGTTGATGCCTCAGTTATTTTCAAGCCATAATAATGAAAGTAGCCAGGCTGTTACAAAGGACCTTTTTAAATTATTCGATTTTACTTCTAAATATGACTGGTTCACGAAAGTGTTCACCTCCCTTAGACTCCAAGGAAGCTTTACTTAATCACAGCTAATCAGGGTTTGATTTAGTGAACCTTACCTTTTGACCCCCTGAGTCTTTAATCCTTCTTTCACAGTGTTTTTTTTTGTCTGCCGTGACAAAAAGAAGATTACTTCAATGAAGCTACTAAGAATTTGGTTTAAGTGGGAATGGGTTTTAAGGATATGAATTTCTTTGAAGTGTATGCAAGTCTACACAAGGTCTGCGAGTACTGTCCCTGGCTGGAAGCTGGAAGGATATAAATTAGCATAAGGCTTTTAGGTTGAGCTGAAGCACATACAACCTTGTGGACAAAAGGTGGTCAATTCTTTCTCATAGAAGAAATAGCAATTAATCCACCTTTATGGTAGTCTGCGCACGAAGCTAACCCACGATACACTCTCCACGTGTAGCTAAAGGACCTTTGATAAGGCGTCTCCTTACCCTTCCCTCCATCCCACCTAAATAATGCCGGACAAACTTTTTTGCCCATCAAAGTAGTTAGCACACACACATACAATGATCACGTAATTGTGCCAGAGGGCTGTTGTGTGGTCAGACATGCACACGTGAGACCTGTTTGTCCCACGTCTTGGCAAGCCAGAAATGCTGTGAGGAGAGAGGGGCGAGGGGAGAGGAGGGAAAACGTGAGCTGTTGTTCTCCTCACATGCATGGACATGTGTTGGTGCGTGCGCGGGTGCATGAGTGCGTGCCCTCTTCTCGCTTGCTTGTTTGTCTGCGGTAGTTATTAAGTGGTGCGGTGGTGGTGAGGATGAGGGTGAGGCGGAGGAGAAGGAAAAGGCACAGAAGGCGAGGTAGGCAAAGGTTTATGCCAAGCACACCCTGATTGCCCATCCCAGAGAACTGGTCGCAACGAGACTAGATGCAGAGAAGGTGAGCTTGTGCGGTACGTTCTGTGCAAACTTGTGTATTTTTTTTGCATCTCTCCTACTACTTGTCATTCGTCTATCCTCTCTGTCTCTGTCTCGCTTCACTTCATATTGGCCAGCTTGTTGATAGTCATACCTCTCATTCGATGCACCATTAAAGTGTTGCCCTTAGGCAGCGGTAGACTAAGCTTTGCGGGTTCCTTTCTGCCAAAATCTGCCAGCCCACTTTTGGGCTTCAGGTAATGCCACCATTCCTTTCTTATCATTGAGATATTAAATATTCGTACTGGCTTGTTTGAGAAGTGTCTCGCTGCATGAATTGTGCAAAACAACCTATCTAAAGCCCAGTAAATGCCAACTACGGGCGTTAATTAAGAGCAGCACGCTATCTCGCCTACGCGACCGGTGACAGTAAAATTTTATTTACCCATTGTCTAGTGTGCTCTTTCTTATATTCGTTAACTCGAATTTTATGCCCTCCTTGTTCGTCCGACAACTGTTTCCACTTGTGTTAAATTACAACCTCGACGAAGTCTCATAAAATGTGGCTGACATAAGGATTCTGATGATTTTATGGTTGCCACAAATTGTAACAAGTAAATGTGGATGGAGTTAAAGTGGGTATTGTTGCCAGGGGCATGACTGCTTACCACTGTCATAGTGAACGATTTTCCCGTTGCCCTGTAGTGGACCGGAACCAGCCTGAATAGCGATACAAAAATTACAGAAAGTCATTCGCATACACTTCTCTTCTAACTCGAAGGTGTCTTGTATTCCTGCGTCAATTTATTTTAGTTCGGACGGAGGTAAGAGTACACGCTAGACGTAGGAAGGCTGAATTGCCCCGTTTTGTATGTTAGGGGAAATTTGTAGGCCTGTCCAATGGTATTTATTGCCAGAATGGCAGATGTTTATTAAGTTCTTCTCGCTCTCTCTCCATTGACGGGACGGAGGCAATTAAATGAGCGCATTGGTTGTTTTCCTTAAAGGAATGCGATAAAACTCCTAACGTTGTACAAATATACATTCACGCCTTAATAAATAAACTCGTATTATTTACATCCTTACTCTCTTCTTTTACGGTAAGCCTAACATCGAGCTGCGAGATTGCCAAGGGTCGCAAGCAGTCGTTCCTCACGACTGAAAAGCCTGCCCATATCTTCCTCCCCTTCTCAGTGTTACTTTCCTGGTTTTAGGATAAAATCTATTTCCTAAACATCAATTGGAAATCGTCTCACCTAATTGGCTTTAGAGGTAACTTCACTTAGCCACAATTCAAGTAAGTAGACTGAATTGGGATATTTGAACATAAAGCCTAATTGGATTTCAGTCATGAATTATTAAGTCATGTCATTTAGTCGAAATGAGAGGCTGTTCAATTAACTGCGTTCTATCCATACGCATCTCCTGAGAGCAGGAGAGTGAGGGCAACCTCGTCCTCCCTCTCTCTCCCTCTCGGCCTCCACCAGACGGCAATTTAAACCACTCACGTAGGTGTGCAGGGGGACTGCTTTTTAAGTCATAGTGAGCATGCTAATAACGCTATCATAAACACCTTTCAGGTTCAGACAGAACCAGACGATTCTGCCGTCTTCTATAAGGCTTGGTGATAACTACGTTGTGTCTTGCTTATTCCATTTAGACAGTTCTTTTGGTTATTAGCGACATTTTCTACATGTAAGGCTTTTGACGCAAAGACGTTTGGTATACATTTGTGTGCGACACCCGAATTTGATGTCTCGTGAGCCATACTTCTTGAATATAATTCTTTTATTTAAAGGAGTGTAAATGATTTTCTGACCTGAAGTCGTAAATGCTTACGAGACGTGCACTCCAGTTGGAATGGTTGTCAACTACCTTGTGGATTGCATAGTCTCATAAGTGCCATCGACTCAGCTGATCGGCGGACGACGATGCAGTTTGCTTCCCCCGTTTATTATCCCTAATTTACTTTACCACTTTAATATTCCTGCTTTAGATCTTCCTGATAGACCCGTTTGAACATCAGATCTTGAAGATTAACCACCAGCGATTCATTTCCATCTCTCAGCCTAATGCAGTTCCACATTACCAATGCAGCTGGCAGTTCTTTAGCAAGCGCGCTCTAAGAAGTGAATATGCTAGAAATTCTCTAAAAAGTGATAATGGATTGGTGTGAAAAAGAAGTGGAAATGCGTACTATACACTAAATAGTGCTTCTCGATCGCTCTCTTGGTTGGTCGTTCCACCGTTCTTTCCACCGTGCTGCGCCTCGCACCAACTTTCGACTACATGGAGAGTCACATTATCAAACGCTCACTCGCCACTTATCTTTGTAGGCTAGACAGTATGCTCTAGCGGTTGGTCGATTCGTCGTGATTCTTGGTATAATGGTGCTTCAACCTTCAGTCAATAGATAAAGAGTGGGGAATTAACAACTTGTTCAACCCACTCAGCAGCCAACCTCGCCTATTTCAAGTAATCCATTGAAGGAGTGCCTGAATTACGGTGGTGTACCTTCGACTTTCTTGACACAGGACGCCATGTCGAATCTTGAATGTGGGATGCATATTTCAAGTCGACTTGAAAATTTTCTGCGGACACAGTACCAAATCGGTTCAAAAGGCTACAAGACACTCGGACATTAGATTATTGTTATTTCATTGATTCCAGGAAATTGCTAATTTGTCTTAAAGCTAGATTATACGACCCAATGAATACACAAAACATGGGGAGGTGACGCCATTGGAGGAAATTTCGAGTCGTGAAGAGACCAATACACCTCCACATATACATTTTCGACTCAAATCAAAGTACTGTTTTTAAGTTTTGTAGCCAAATTTACCCACAATTTTATTATCTATAAATGAGGTTGCTCCCAAGACGGGAGTAGCAATTTGTGGAACGTCTGATAGCGGTTGAACTTTTGCTACTGTGGCATTTATCCAACCTACTAAGACTTGAAATAAAACATGGCCGAGATGATGAAATAATAATCTCCTCTGTGCCACCCTAGACAGCCCAAAGGTGACAGTTGAGTGACAAGGAAGAGCGTGAGTTGCTAGGTGTAAATCCCAAGCTCCTCGTCAAAGAGGCATTGGAAGTACAAATTCCATTACATGGGCGCACAAAGTCTATTCTACTATGGTAGACTTATTTCATTTTTATCCGCAACGGTCGAGGCGTTTTAAGCTTGTTTACGCAGTTGGCATTCGACTCCCCCGACATACTAGCACCTTGACCTTCCAACATCGCTTTCTATTGGTGTGGTAAAAACTACGCATATATTTTGTCGCTAACCAAACCTTGACCATATTTTAATATTTATTGGCGTTATATTATCATTTTCATTTTAAAAAGAGAAGGAATTTTGGTCCTGAATCGAAGTACCTGGCCTACCGTACACACTTTGTAAAGGCGGACTACTTGTATTCGGGGGTTATGCTACAATACATTCGGTGTTGCCCTCTTCCACCTCTGAAATGAGCAGAGGAGTTGGACAAAGATCAGCTTTGATGAGGTAGCGATAAATAAGGGGGTACAGAAGTATCACGGTTAATGATGTTGGGGGGATGGGTTTCCTCCTCATCCTCAGAAACCGACAGCATCGAATCCGTCAAGAGGTTTGTATTTGCTCACTGCCTCGCGCCCAAAAAGTATATTTAAACAATTATGTATTACAGTACACCTCATTCAAACCCTGATCTCATTTGGAATAAGCTATTTAGTCGCTTTTTGCAAAAGGATTCGGAGCATAGCTTGGTTCATCCTTCCTTGAAGTACGAAGTTTCACTTGTCTAATCCGCACAAGCGTCTATTTTGGACGTGCATTAAAAGCACATTTGTTGCATCTATGTAAAGTAGAACTTATCATTCAGTTATACCAGCCAGACTGGGCATATCTGGGCATTTTGTAATTCAAAGAGTTTTTCTTCTTTTGACGATTTTTCGACTGCCTTATAGTGTCCACTAAACAAGAGTTGTTCCTATTGATGGATTGATTTCAAGGCAGGGGTTTCATTATGGACTTCCTTGAAGACTAGAGAGGGCGATACTCAGACAGACTATGCATTGTCGATCCACAGAAGGGCTTGAGAGGTACTGGCACGGCCTGGAGGCCACGCCGCCAAGGAGCGGTACAATGGCGGAGCCCCAGCTGACCTCTTACCAAAACTGAGAGTCTAAAAATCAAAGTAATAGATACATATAAGTCCGCACCTTTATTTTTCGTGGATTTGCTGGAAAGTACCAAACTACGCATATTCGCCTCTAGGATAGAAAAATGTTTCGTATTTTTTATGCATTAGAAGTGAAATCTATACGGCTTTTTCAAAAGGCTTTTGAAGGTAAATTGGATTTGCGATCAAATTGACGTGCGGAGGGATCCGAGACACGACGCTACGTGAACTGCAACCACCAATAATGGCACGCCAATCAGTATGATGGGAAGCACCGGAATGATACCATTTAACAGATTTACTGAGTTGGTGACTAAAAATAGCGTTTAATCCTTTTAACACTAAATTACGCCTTGTAGGGTCAAAATTGGGTTTTTGCTGTCCCAAAGAAGTAATCCGATGCTTGATAAATGTGACAGTCGTGTAGGGGTAATTTTGACGACAATAAACCTTCAAGTTTAATCTTCGCAGATGGTCTCACATTGGGTATCATCTTCAGGCGAACGGATTAACTAATGTATTCCAATCAGAAATAATTAAATAGAATGACTATTCCAGCAGACCAAAATGAGATTTTGAAAAATTCCAAATGTGAGATTTCAGAGATCTCTGGATCCCTTCTGGGTAAAGTTCTGCTGCGGTTGCCCTAGAGTAACCATCTCCTGTAAGCGCCACTGCTTATAGAAGACTATTTTCCCGAAAAGGGCAATCATATTGGAGAACAATCCCTCGGGATAGTAGCTGGAATTGTCATTGTTAGCAGACAAATACTTGGTTATTCAAAAGACACCTTGACCAGAACAATGACCGAAAATGGGAACAGTGGAGTGAAGCTGAATCTTTCATCTCCAGCCACTGAGACAATGAACAATTGTAACAAATGTGGGGGGAGAAGGTGCCAAATAGCCCTGGAGGAAAAAGAAGGTAAAAAAAGAGTGAAAATGCATTCACTTGTCAGGAGCCGACATCTATTCAAGAGCATATACTGTTTGAAAATTCAGATTTTGTTTCAATCTTCCTCCAACTTGGAGTTACAAAAGTTGATATTTTGTAATATTTTGGCTCAAATATTATCCTTCTCTCATCAAATTAATACTGTTTTCCATAGTAGTGAGGACTCGCCCAGCTTCAACTAACACAGCTTCCTTCAGCAGACTTATCGCATGACAACGTCCCAGAAAAATTTCTTAATCTGTTTACAGTATTGACAACGAACTGTTCTCGTCATCTAGACCTACCTCACCAGATAGAACTTAGAGCCATTTAAATAAGGAGCTTTGCCAGTAATGTAAAGATGTCACATTCGAGTACCGCCCAGTAAAAAGCACAAAGGTGGAGCCTCAAGTACCCTCGAGACCAAAACGAAGAGGTAGACAAACAATCGAAGTATGACACAATCCCTCACCTGTTTGAGCGTCGTCCACAGCGCTCCCCTTGATCAACCTCTCGCATCGGCCATAACAATGTAGCCGGTGCCGTAGGAAAAGCCCCCACCAACCATCCCCGCCAGTCGTCAAGCTTGCATGCAAATGAGAAGGTAGCTGATGGCAGCGTCACCGATACCTCTTGGCGATTTCACTAGATCTAAAGTTTTGTCCTGTTTGGGACCTGTATTGGGGGAAGGGGATGTGTTAGCCACCTCATATGTCCATCGCTGGTCGTAAGGGCACTGCTCTAAAATTCGAGTCATTGGAAAAGTGACCAAATTTAAAATAGTTTTGTGAGGATAAGGGTTCGCGTCTACTCCTCCTTTCCGTTTCGTTCTTGCTTCAGTGCTGCCCAACTATATTTATTTATCTATGTAATTTCTTTCCAGGTAGCAGAGAGGTGGAGGAGGTATCACGCGTTTACTAAATTGACATCTTCACGCAGATCCCGTAGACGGCTCCGTAACGAACTTTTTCCGAAGGTTCACGACTAGGCCTAGCGCAGCTTCAATCATTAATGATATTCCTGCCAAAGGAAGACGCAGTTTTCAACCCTTCCGTTAAGGGTTATTACATATTCTCCCATTTGCGGCATATACCCCTCTTCTGACAAATTAAGATTTGGCATTCAGCAATAGAGATCAGGGTAAATGCCTCTTAAGGTCGGGTTTGTTTTCCGCCGAAGACGGGCGGAGACGTGATACTAGGACAGAAAATGCATTGCCGGTGTACAGAAGGACTGGGAGAGGAGCTACAGGCAGGGCCTAGAGGCCATTGCCTTCAGTAGAAGTACAAAGGAGTGTTTAATACCCGAGAAACCGAAGCTTAGATTTAACCAATTAAAGCCTTTCACCAGCACTCATTCACTGCTAGAATAAAATGGCAAGCTATTCAAGACCATCGTTTTCGTGGGTTTGTTCATTTCTATATTAAGTTAAACTTCCAGAAGACTTATTGGTCAGAAAAGCAATTGTTAGAATTTCAGCGTCTGAATCTCTTCTACAAACTGCATCAACAAACGGTGGGAATGTGAAATAAACATTGAATAGGAAGATAAATCAAAGGCAACTGTCGTCACAGCTTCAAATTGGGAAGCTGAATCGGCAGAGATAGTTTTAATCATCAAAATTATTTTAAGTATGAAGTTTTTCTTCGTTTGACTATGTCCATTTTTGATCATAGCAGTTCGTTGCGGCTCAAGTGTGGTAGGTCTTTAATAATTGCTTAAAAATACAGCGGCGGTCAGAAGAGACATGCACGATTATGACTAGTTAAGAGGGTTGCCACCCACAAAGAAATCGTACGACTGACCCCTTAATTAAAGGTATTCAGCAATTCCAATTTTCCCTATAATACCACTTTCTATCGACCAAATCATTGGTGTAAGCTATTTAGGGAGTAAAAAAACGAAAAGAAGTATTATAATATTGATGCTGAAGTGCTTTTAAGGAATAAATCGGAGTCCTTTCTTAGGTCATGAATGCTAGATCAATCTAAAGGCAGAAGCATGGCAAAATTTGTGTTCGCAATTTCACTGAATCCAGAGTTTCGTCCATTTTGGGAACTACACTGGAGGAAGGGGCGATGGAATGTGCTGGCCTTCACTCATGCCCCATGCTAGTAGCAGGAACAATGGCCCAAACGCCCAGTCATTTAACAAGAGACGGGATTTAAAATGGTTCTCTAGCAAAAAAAAGATTTTGCGCATCTCCCTCCTTTCCGCTTTGCCCTCACTTCAGTGCTACTCATCCAAACATTGATCGGAATTATATCCAGCTAGTAGAGGTAGAGGAAGTGTCGCGTGTTCACTACATTGACACCTGCACATAGGTACCATGGACAGCTCCGTGACGAACTTTCCCAGATAGATCACGGTCACTGCTAGTGCTAGTTCAAAGCACAGCAGTAGGTAGACGTCATTTCCAACCTTTCTGTTAGGGGTCGTCACCGACTCTTCCATTCGCTGCATATGCTGTCTACTACCTAGCGGTAGAAATCATGATACCTGCCCCATAGGATTGAGTCCATTTTGAGACAACCGCATCATGGCAAGGCTTCCCTGAGGACGAAAGAACACAGAATACTCTGGCGGAACATATATTGCCGACGTGCAGAAGTGCTGGGGAACCACTGGCACAACCCGGAGGCCATGCTGCCTAGCGGGGGCGCAGTCGCAGAGTCCTAGGTGACCCCCTACCATGACCGAGAGTTAAGCAAAGACTTAAAGTACTCTAACAACGATTAACAAGGCTTTCAGAATCAACACAACTCGGAGTTCCGCCTACGCGAGATTCAAATTTATCAAGTCAACCGTATATAGACGGAACTATAGCATGAAACCACTTTAAACCGCTCGCTTCACTTCTTCAAATCCTCTTTTCCTCACGTGGCTGCGTTTGCCGAGATCGCCATTTGTTCTTGTGATGGCGTGTTTTTGAAAGTTTTGTGGGTTGCTTGTCTCGGTTATTCCCGCCATGCCATGAAAATTAGCTCGTTTTCACGTCGGAGACTTCAAACATTGTAGGCGCCGATAAGCAAGTAATGGAAGAGAAAAATTGGCTTGCATGTAGTTCACTGCAGGTCAACGAAGAGGTAACGAGAGAAACTTATGGATAAGTATGTCTATTTCCTTGACATGACGTTGCCCAACATGTGAAAACGATTACAAAGTCAGATGATTTGAAAACAGAAGAAATCGACAGGTGATCAGATAAGCAATGAAAGACAGTTAAGATGATGAGAAGGATAAAAACTGTTTGGCCTCAGGAATTCGCTTTGCCAAAGAAAACCATTGGCTAAAAGCCATTACCAATGTTGGAATAGCAAAGGCCGCCGCCATGAAGTCATTGAAGTCAATTTCCCACACAGCGTTCGTCGTGTCCCCACTCTCTGTCAGGCCTGAATTGCGTTTGATGACAGCCAGCTGACACTGCTGGCCGAGTCTCGCCAGTGCATGAAGCAAATCGTGGTCGCCTTTTCGATTATTCAGCAGGAGAAAGTTGATTGTCTACAAGGTACGGCACTATTTCACCTTTCACCATGGTCAAATTATAAAAACGTGTCTTTTGTTTAACGTAAATAACACGCCACTATTTCTTCGGACTGAATTTTTCATGAATCTGTCCTGTGTACCTAAAAATATGGATGCGTTTTTATGGCACATTGGCAGGAGACCAGTCTCACATGGGGACATCTGAAAGAGTAATCGAGCTGATAGATAACCTGGCTGAGATGCTGCCACCCTAGATTTAATTCCCACTTCAAAACAAAGCACATAATACAACCGAAATTGTTGCGATGATTCAGATAGTAGGAATCAGACGCTGAAGATATCGCGAGTTTTCAAGATCAGTGATAATTGACACATATAGCTGAAATGATACTTCAGATTCCACTCGGACAGCTAGGTGGCTCCAGCATATTAGTCCGGTAGGCGCGCAGGGAGGAGGTAACCAAGTTTTGGAGCTAACACAGAGCCAGCGATTTTTTCCTTCCCTCAATCAGTAGCCTTATCGACGAAGGCGCGCAGACACGCTCATTCCTTTTTACATGGGTGCAGGGCTTTGCAAAAAACGAACACAAGGGAGGCGAGGCCATATCAATATCAAAGCGAGTAAAATTGAATTATCTCCAGTATGTATCAAAGGCCTTAAGGGGAGGGGAAGACTACATGTCCTAAGCGAAAAAAAAACCCAAGTGAAAGGGTGGATGGGCCGGTGGTTGAATGAGAAGCCAATCAGAGAAGGACTTCAACGTCATCGTCATCATAAGCTTTGAGGAGGCGGAGGCCGCCAGGACAAATAAGAGTTGAGCAGACGTCCATTAAACCTGACGTACTGATCACTGAAGTTGCGCCTTAACCCACTCGTTGATATGGCAGTTGAAAAGAGAGCATATCGCAAGCCATATTGTTAACAGGGCCATGTAAAGACAAAAAAGGGAGAGAGGTGAATCAGGCGCCCCATGACTGGTGGCTTAATGCGTGAATTCACTATCCCCCATGACTAAGACGTGTGGGCAAAGTCCATGGTGGTGCTACTTGGATTTCCTCTGTCAAAGCACAATCGTGTATCACTAGCTGACAATGTAAACCAAAGTTAAACTACGCCGTTAGATGGTTAGAAGGCTGGCAGTGTTCATAATTTGCAGAATCTACGGATTGCCGGAGAGATCAATCCTACAGACAATGTTTAATGAGACAGAATGAGCAACCCGATGAATGGTAGTGGCGCAGTGTGGTTCAAAAAACAACATTATGAGTAATGGCAACAACAACACCACCAGAATGGAGCAGAGGGAGTAAGCAAATTGCGCAGTTACTAGCACCGTTTCATCTCTACCTCCCTCCCTCCTACTCCTGCTTTTGCTGCTGGCACTACATGTCCTTGTGCGCCTCGTGGCTGCTTATCAGAGCAGGGCAATCTCTCAGCCAGTCATTAAGGCGGTCGAAAAACCTCAAATTTACATTGTCTATTTGTTGGACCTCGCCTCCCTTCCTCTTGTTTGTACTGCGGTCGGTGTTCTTCCTTCCAGTGGATGACCTTGGTATTCCACCTCAAACCGTGCCAGCAAAATCGCAATTAAGCGGCTTGAGGAGGGAGGTCACATTGAATTAAATTGCTAAGGGATAGGGTTAAAAATAAGTTTTATGATCAGTACAGGAACATAAATGTCACGGTGTAGCGAATATAAAAAAGTCCCAAGAAAAGTAGGATTGTAAAGTGAAATTCCACCTTTATCAACAAGGGAATGCTGATCATTCAGATGTCATGACTGAGTTGAAATGATGACTCAGCTCACTACTCCAAGTGACAAAAATTAATTTCTGGCATGATTTCGTCGGTTGTCACATTACCAAGAGGTGAACGTAAGGAATTGCCAATCTATGCTTAGGAATAATACGAATGAGAATTCAAGCGTGGTACATGAGAATCGGAGAAAAATCCCTTCCTTTTGGCTGGCCGAGTAATGCAGGTATTAATGGGAAGGTAGGGATGAAGCTATGGTAGCCCATTTGTCATGCTTGTACTGAAGGAGGCGATAGGCAAATAAATTAAGACCTACCACACAAATCAACAAATTTGAAATAAATTAAATCCAAGTGTTAGGAATAGTGACGAATGATCATGCTTAACTCGGATCGCATTCCATGGGCACTCTAAGTAGAGCCAACCTTGGACACCAATCACCAAATAAAACAAGTCACAAGTATCAAAATGAGCAGGAGTATTCAATTCAACTTAGTAATGAAACATTTTGAATCAAAATTGAGTAAGGAAACACTATTTCTACGGTTTTGTTGACAGTGAAAGCAAGTTTCTAGAAGAAGAACAATAAAAAACTGCTCTCTGGGAGTGCTAATATTAAAAGATCGACAGAATGCAGATATTGGCTGTGTAATTCAGATGAAGTGCTACTGACCTTCAAAAGATCAATGAAAGAGGACTTCGGAAGCGGAGGGGGATTCTCCAAAGCCATAGGTCCCGTATAGACGGTGTTTAATGGAAGCATACTTTCTGAACGCTCACGGTCGATACCAAGAACACTGCCGTTTCTTTCCAAGACGCCCGAGGATTCGGCAGAAATCACCGCATCCTCCTGCAGAGACGCCTTGCTAAAGTCAGTGTCAGTGATCTCTTCGGTTAGTTCTTCGGTGCATTCCACACCGACGCTGGGGTAGTAAGGTGGGGAGAGGTCATAGGAGGTGGTGAGAAGAGATTGTGCAGAGCGTCGCTCCCAAAATCCACTGCGGTCCTCTGGTCGCAGGTACTCCGGTGAGTGGATCGTAAAGAGGAGACGCAGTTTTCCACGGCAGTCGGAGGAAGAGATGAGAAGCAATAACCAGGCGTAGTCCTACACAGACATTGTGAAGAAGAGAACACATGCAACAGGGCATTCAAATTGTACATTCAACTACACAGCTTTTCAGGCGGTGGCATAAAGGAGGAAATTCGGGGCGAAGGGATTTACAGAATCCTAAGAAATTAGGCTCAATTTACAAGAAGGGTTAACGAGTGGAAAAATGTGTGAAATCCGAGAATAGGAATTCAAAATTAGGCAAATGCATAGACTCCTGTGGGAAAGGCAGCAGGTGTGGAGAACATTTCTACGAGCACTCTGATAATGATGGCTTTACAGTTCCCCCAGATGGCACCGCTCCCACTTGAGAAGGAAGGGGGAAGAAGGGTTTGCTAAGTTTTGCCGCCATCGTGTTGTCTTATTTATTACGACCAGACGGCTGTTGCCTCATTCGCACATTAGTGGCAAGGAGAAGTAGGTAGATGAGTTAATTCAACCAAATCCCCTTTCATAGCTAACAAAGAAGCACCAGTATTCCCAGCAAAAGCAAGTTTACGGAATGAAGAAGGAGTAGGTTTTTCGATTTACTTAAATACAATGCTGAAAAGCGCAGCGTACCTTTGAGATGCCCCCCTCTGCAAACAACCGCAAAAACTGTTACTCCACCGGCCAATGTTACTTCACAGTAAGAAGAGATTAACATCGACCCCTCTCCTCTCCCCATTCAAGCCTTTCGTTTTGCTTAGTTATTAAAAAAGTGCCCAAATTAAAAGCGATTTAATTGGAGGTGCGTGCATGTGTGCGTATGCTTTCACCGCCTTTTTCACGACAAACGGGTAATAGGACCTTTAATTAGTGAGAATTAGGGAAAGAGGATGAGCTGGAGAACAATCGTGAGCAGGTAAGTTTCAGCAATGTAACATCTATCTTCGTGGACTGTAGATTAAATGTGCACGCCTAAAGCAAATCCATGAGATGTTAGTGAGGCGAAGTTTAATATCTTTCTAGAAATATAAAGTCACAAATGAAAGCCTGGCTCGTGGTAGAATAGGAGCGATTTCAACACCGAACCCGGGAGCCCAGAAGAACATACATCCATTTACGTAATCCAAATCCTACTAGTAAAAAGGAAAGGAGGAAGAGAAAGAGAGAGGTGAGGCCAACTTACACGTAGATTAACCAGGTTATCCTTGTCCGCATCGAGGAGTCGGAAGAGCGGCAGTGCAAGGTGCCCCCAAGACGTTTGAGCACAAAAGAGACTGCGAAATTGATCGGCGTCGATGCGATGCATGTCGTAGCAGAGTCGATTGAGGGAGCTCACCTTGCCGTACTGCGCCGCTGGTTGCACGTGTTGCGGCCGGTAATAACGCGACGTGATATAATGATCCTACAGGAAGGATTATGAAAAGGTACCGGGAAGGGTGACAGTTGTCGTGCATTCTCAACAGTACTGCTACAAAAAAGACGTTTTAAATGTCATTTTTTAAGTGGTTAATAAACTTTGAAAATAAATCGCAACTCAGTATGCCATACGTAGATCTGGTAAATGAGAATTGTAAATATTTCGACGCCAATGAGACTTCTCAAGGAGTTTTAGGGAGTTAGCAACTTTTATTTAATGCAATAACTCATCCAAATAGATGAATACCTTCCTTGAGAGGTTGAAACAGCTCAGCAGTCAAAGACGCAAAAGTTTCAATTTAACAAGCATAAAAAGGGTGCTGTCGTAGTACAGCTAGGGGAAGTATTGAGTGGCAAGTTTGTCCTATCACTACAGACCAGGGCGCACATTTCATGCACCGATCCAGTCCAGACGCCGTTAACCAAGATGGCAGATAACAGGAGTGAAATGCGTGCATAGAACGACGCGTGGTGATGAAGTATCTTGTGAACGAAAGGTCAAAACCTGCAGATGTTGGCGTCTACGGTCGACTTCAAGCGCAGCTTGTGCGGTGATGGAGTGCGCAGCAAGAGTAAGACATCTTAATGATGTCTAGAATTCAAAAACGGTCATAGGTCTTAAAGTCACTGACGATCCCAGCCGTAGTGGGTTCTAGTCCAGAGCTTCGGCAGTCATGATCGTGAACACCAACTCAGTACTTCAAACAACACGTAGCCTGGTTTGAAACTGATTAAATGACGAATCCTTCTGTGGAGTAAAACGAACAATTACAATTCCCAAAAGTTTACACTCGCTGTTCTCAAATGTAGCTGAGACTGTCAAAGAATGACATCAGTCCACACCCAACAAAATTTGCCCCTTTTCGTCTTTCTAAAACTCAGAGTTCACTATATCAGTTGAAAGATAGAACATACCCACAGATGCAAAGTAAGGGAATTTAGAGAGTGCTGCAGTGAGTAAGCAAAAAAGTTAGTAAGACTTTCGACATAATACGCAACGATGACTTGTTCCAACCCGTAGGGAAGCGAGAGTGTGTGCAGTTGTTTATGTGCACACATCTTCAAGCATTGGAAAATATGCACCGGTCTATCAGTGTAGCGCCAACTAGCTGTTGTGCTCTCTACCATTCTACCCTCACACCCAACTCATCCTCACATCATCAAATGTCGCTTGAATGCGGTGGATGTGACTTCAGCCTGTCTGCTCTGCAAACTGAATTTAATCCGATTCAAAAAGGGGAAATAAAAATTTCGCCTCCACTTTGACGCATCGTCTCTGGAAGAAAATCACATTACGATGGTGGAACGCCTCGGCCAGATATGCTCCAAAAACTTCATCCAGAGGTTGAGTCATCCAAGAATACAGATGCATCGCATTCTGAAGGACTCTCTACCTTTGTCAATAGTGAAAGCTATAATCACAGGGCACCATAAAATTAAAGTAAATGAAAACTCAGGATTGGAGATTAAGGACACCTTTCAGTCGTGATTCACTTAACATTTGGTTTACAGCCATTTCAATGGATCGTCGTGGAGCTTAATAAATACGTGGGTCCAACCCACATCATGCACTAGCAGTCGACAAACTCCGCAGACTGTCAATTTCCTGCCCCTCACGTCTTCCACCACATAAAATGCTCCGTGCGTTTCATACTCCTTGCTAACTGACTCGACAACGGAGACGATTTTGGCGTCCCAACGTTCCTCAAGTGAGACAACACATTTCTGATCACATTGACCCCAAACGATCCACTGCTCACACCACACTCCTAAGGTGCGTTTGCCTCTTCCTCGGAAAACCACGCATATCCTTCCTACACCTCACTCTTTCCCCCACCATCTGCATGTGTGTGTGTGCACGGTGGACTGCAAATGCAACCGTTCATTATGAGCTGCTCACTTGCTGAAGGCCAGATCATTACGGCTGGGACCTATCTACGCAATGCCACACCGTACAACTCGAAGGTGTGCAGGAGGGACTCCTTTTTAGAAACAGCCAGAACCTGTCAACATGTCGAAAAAAGACCTTCTCAAACAAAACAACACAGCGCAAATTCTCATACCTCATGATGTGGCAAAACTGATCTGTGAAAGACTTGGCTTTAACACAAGAGAAAGGAGGAAGGGTGGCACCACC